ATTTAACTTTCTTTTGGACCCCCAAGGCCTCAAGGGGCCAAGTTCAATGCGCTTAACTTGCGGCTTATTTGCTTCTTTTGTTTGGTTAGTTTTTCTCCTGCCTGAAAGACTCAACTTTCACATTCACAACCTTTGGCACTTCCTCCTCCTGCCTCATGCAGCATGCCACATGCAAAAAGATAATCACCCGGCAATGGCCATTATGTTGGCCAACCCGACTCACCCGATTCACATTTTGGCATTCGCAATGCAATGCAATCAATGCTTCTCATTCGATTTCAATATTTTGCAATCGCACTCATGCGGCTGTGGGGCAAGATTTTCATTTTTCATGCGAGTCGAGTCGAGGGGGCACATGCCCCCGGGAGTAACCAGCAACGCATGGGTGTGAACAAATAAAAAAATGTGCATCCATGGAGTTTCTGGGACTGCAACTATATGAAATATCGCATTAGTCGGCGAGAGAGTACGTACATCCCAGCCAGAGCTCTGAAATTTATGTGGGAAGTTTTTGGATGATGTTCGTAATTTCAGGCCCCTAGGCTTGGGGGTACAGTGCAACTTATCTAATAGCGGAGAGTTACTACTTCCTGAACGCCAGAATGTGAGAACAGAATGTGCTGCAAAAAGTTCATATCTTTCCTGATATGAATAACAAGCCGTCAAGATTTATGATATAATATTCCAAGGGCTATTATAGTTACTTTTCTGAGGCCAACCCCCTGCCACTTACTTTTGAAACAAGTTGTGCAATCTTAGTCCGATTTTATTGCAAATAAAACGTAACCAAATAGGCAAACTATACCCCCATTTGGAGCAACTCTAGTCTCACCGCCCAGCCACCTGCTGTGCTCTGTATCTCCAAACTACATACGTACTGGCCAATTGCATCACTGCCCAAATATGCAACACAGAAATGGTCAGAGTAAACCTTTGGCCAAAAGGCGATGGCCACTTGCCAGAGTAACCTTTGGCCAAAAGGCGATGGCCACTAGCCGGCCGGAGAGTGAAATATTTGTTAAACAATGCCAAACTGGCTCTTGGGTGTTAATCGCCGCCGAAGAAAATTCCAAAAAATAGCCCCAGAGGCGTGCCTCAGCCAGCCTGTCGCCGTCGAACCAAAAATAAAAGCTTAAGAAATTAATATGCACTGTTGCAGCAGCACGTCGCCTTGCATATTTGGACTTTCACTTTTTGTTTTCTTTTTTTTTAGGGGGAAAAAAAGTCAAATAAAAAATAAACAAAATTTCAAAATAAACTCAAGTCTTAAGATGCTTGGACATTTTATTCAATTACAAATGGTCAACACAAATAGATACATCACTGATTGAGTCTTCGGAGTTGGGATGGTGGGCGAGCGAGGAGTGATTAAGTGGGTATCCAAGTTAATTGCTGGCTGGCTGGCACTTACGTTTATTTTTTGGTCTGCTTTGGATGCTTTCCCTGCTGCCACAGTTTAGAGCCACCTGCCACCTCAATTAAGCGCCCAGTAACGGACAGAAATCAAAGTTACGCATTTCCAATTGCGTAATCATCACAATCTGTTTTTTGTTGGAGATTTTCATGGCTTGCGAAAGTAAACATATTTTTTTTTTTAAGTCATAGCTGGGCTTATTTTTTCATTTTAGTTTCCTGAACAATGCGTGCAGTTATTAGTAGTTTGGATTCATTAATCATGTGTGGAGCGAATGAGTTATTGCACCTGTCGGGCATGAGAAAAGTGGCTCCGGATTGGGACGATTATGGAATGGTTATCAGATTTTAGGCCCAGCTTGTAATAGGCTCTTCCTCAAAGGGAAATCTATTCTTCCCCAGTTTGAGTTTCTAGAAATACTTCATTTCCGTTTAATTAAGCGATCTGGGCTGACCTAAAATGCAACCCAAATCGATAGTTCCCCTTCGTTATCCAACCATTACTTCAATCTTCGTCTCTTTGTAAGTCCCGGATTAGTTAGTTTTCTCTCCACGTCCCTATTGCGAGTTTGTTGGCTCTGTCTCTGGCTTTAAGTTTTTAATTAACTTAAATCAATGACAGTCTACATTGGCGAAATGGCCAGCAAGGGACTTGTACTGCAAGTATTGTTGCATTGAGACAATGTCGACAGGCTGAATCGAATCGATTCGAATGGAAAGCCACAGATTAAGTATCCCAGGCCCAGGGCGGATGGTTGACCAGATGGCTGGATGGCTGGATGGCCTGATGGCTGGACAATTGCCGCAAATCACAGTGGAGACTGTGGCAGCTACAAAGCCATTCGAACTATGTGTACTTATACTGGTGGCAGCTACTCTCGGCATCCGCTGGAAGAGGAGTGGAGATCTAATGCCTTCGGAATGGCAGTCTTGATTTTAATTACCAACTATCTCAGTGAACTTGCGCGGCTGTAATTCGAGCCACAATCAGAAAGCCCCTGTAATACTAGTTGGCTGTGTGAAAAATAAAATCAAAGAACACCACTCTTTGGGGGGTGCTACCATATATTTAATGTGTGAAAGTCCAAGGCAGCGATGGCGAGTGGATCGAGTTCGAATTACCATAAAATATGTGTGTAGAGACAACGCATGCGCAACACGTAACCCGATGCAGATACAGAAACCTTTTGGCGGAGTTTCAGATACTGGGACTTTATAGTTTCGGCTCTGTTCAGGGTGAGCTCGTTCACCTTGGAAAAAGCAGTTTAAATTCGAGTTTTTCGGCGACAAAGACCAACCATCTATATCTCCCCACATTAACTGGGCCAACATTGGGCTGGACTTACATATCCATTGGCCTTTGGCGAATTTCATGCTTGCTGGGCGATTGTTTCGAAAATCTGCTACTGTTTGTATGGAGGCTTTCATTCAAAGACCTCTCCCCCTTGCCGCCTAATTGAATTATGTTGCACATTTCGGCAAGTCAGGCTTCAGTTGAGTTCGGCTTGGTTCTGCCAGGCCAAGAGTGCTGCGGATATTTGCCAATTGAGTTATTGCCTTTTGGCTGTGCATTAGCGTGCGATTTCCCAATGGAAAGTTGGCTTTTGGCAAGTTCTCTACAAACGGGTTGGTTAACTCGGTTTCCGACTACTGCTACTGCTCCTATATGTGGCATATAGAGTCCCCCCCCTTTTCAAAGTTTTCTTAACAGGTGCAGTCTGCACCTGCACTTCCACCTTCGCAGATCCACGAAGTACATAACTTCCTTCGACTCATCGCCCGCTTAAGCTGTTCCTGAGATTTGTGAGCCATTTAGTTTTTCATTTATCTACCTGGGGGAGTCTCAGTCTTAGTCTCAGTCTCAGGTATGTAAGCCAATTACTCAATCCCAATTGGCAGGTGCTTCGCTGGGAGGATGGCCCCAAGCAATCAAGATTTTAAAGGGGAGATATGTTTGCTGAAAATTGCTATTGAACCTCCAAGCAAACATTAAGAGGAGAATTTTTGAGGCAAACCTCAAGAGGAAGTAGAGTAATCTAGGCCAGCATAACTTCTAGCTGGCATTTTAATTTTAAAATCCAGGGCAATATTTGCTAGTTAATTACCTATTCTAATCGCTTAGTTGATTATGCTAAGTTGCGAAAACAAATCCCAATGGCCATGCCCTGTATTTTATTAAACAAATCTAAAATTTATTCAGCATATTAGCACTTTAAATCTGATTTCATAGCTCTTTGGATAAATAATTATTTTCAGACTGTTAGCAGACTGATTAAAAGATTATTATCAAAAGTGAATTTATGGTCACGTAACGTTTTTATAATATTTTCCACATTTCCGTGCAAAGATAAACGCCTCTACAGAATAATTTAATTGGCAATTTCATGTCGGAATAATATAACCAAATAAAAGTGAGTCTGCGGTCTGCGGAAAGTAATCATAATCAGCCTGCTAGCCCCATTCCCCCATTTAGTTGGCTATCAAATGTGAGCTTTGTAGCTTCGCTCTTTTTTCTCTATTTTAGACTCCGCAGACTCTCTTCTCATTTCCAATAAACAATTCTTCTGGCTTTATTGGTTTTCCTGACAAACTTGTTCGGCTCTCAATGAGCGGACAGGTTGTTTTGCAAAAAGGGGATATTGGGGGTGATGGGGGGGCTGTGGAGAACTTGGTAGAGTCAGCATGTTTTCAAGATCAAAAAGCGAATGGCGGTGAAGCTGAAGAAATTGCACAGAAATTCAACAAAACTTCAAAAAAAAAAAAAGAAAAAAAAAAAGAACAATGTGAGAGAGGGAGAGCTTGAGGAAACTGCAAAAGGGAACCTTTCACTTTGGATGCACTTAAACAAATATTTAAAGATACTATGGCAAGAATCTAAGGTGATTTGGGGTATTTAATTAAAAATAAAATATAATTTATTAAGAATTCATCTTTAAATTATGAAATAATATGATACTCAACTATTCAGAATCATACAACACTTTTTATTTTAATTCTTCTACAAGTCTTGGAACTTTATAACCTCATTAAGATTATGTAGGATTATAGGTTTAGGATATTTTAATATTATAATACCCTTAACTATTTTTTTTTTTTTGTGTAAACTTGAAAGGTATAACATGTGATAAACATGAAGCGATGCCGCGCAATTGAAAAGTAGCACAGATGCCAGGGCATCAGTGCGGCCTCAAAAGGCAACGGTATCGTGGACCAGGGCCCTGTGAGAAGGGAGCAAAGCACAAAAAGTCCAGGACCGGAATGGGGGTGGGCGGCAGCCACAGCAGCAGCAGCATCAGCAATCAAGGAATTGGGCGCAGGAGGCGGGGTAGTGGCAGGAAAGACGCAAAAAGTGTGTGTGCGTATCAAAGAATCGGGCGGATGGATGGGCGGGTGGGAAAGAGAGGCCAGAGCCCGGATGGGATGCCCAAGGGCGTGGGCGGTGGGTGGTTGGTTGGGTGGTGGTTCATATTTGCTGGGAACAGTAGCAGTCGCCCTGTTTATACACGTTTTTAGGTTTTTGTTCTTTTTTTTTTTTTGGAAAAAGGTTTTGAGAAATGCGCACAACCGACAAACTAAGAAAAACTTACCTGTAAAATATGGGCACGCTGCGATGCGAGCTATTTAATAATTTACGATGCGTCGAAGATTTACGACCCACTCGATGTATTAAACTGCAATGATTCCGGAATATTTTTGAGAATTTTAGCTTTTTTGTTGGGGTTTGTTTTTTTTGCAAGGATAACAAGGATATAGTAAATATTGTTAGGATTGTAGTACTACAATGGAAAATCGCACTGTTTTGATTGAGCGCGCGCAAAAAATTATACACAAAATCGGTAGAACACACACACAACAGCAGACACACACAACCAACCAAAAACACACACACCTATACACAGAATATGTCCCACAGATAACTCCGAGATAGAGACGCACCGATGGCTTGAGCTCCGGATGAAAAAGAGAGACGAGGAGTCGAGAAGCCGAGAGCGTGTAGGGTGTGTTGGCTTAAACGATTCCAAAACTCAGCACTCGGCGGGCTATTCGGACCAATTCGTTCGTATGGCTAGGTGCTGCTGCCCAATCCAGCTCAGAAATCGTGGCTTAAATCACTCAACGGCACTCGACGCGGGAGACTGTGCGACCGATTTCAGCGACTTGTGCTTACGAAGTGACGGTTTACTTCTGTTTCGGTTTCAGCAGCAGCAGCAGCAGCCGCACCAATACATGTACATGCTCTCACAAATAGCAGGTTGGGCCTGAAAGCTCTACTTTGAGAGCCATGGCTGGGGAGCAGTAGCCGGGCCAAAACTTGGCGGTTAAAGCTCTTTGAGCGAAGCTTTCAAGCTGTTTCAAGTCTTAAGCTTGAGCTTAAGAGATGTCAGATTGGGGAAAAATAACAGTCTTTTGAATATTAAGCTTATCAATATTTAAACTTAAATAAATTATCCTATGAATGTCCTTAAGGATCAAAATATAACTAAAAATAAAAAACTAACCAAGCCATGAGAGTTTGCTCATGTTTTTCACTTAAATTTCTATCAGATTTTAAGAATGCACACCCAAAACCTAACATTTTAGGGCACAGAATGAGCTATATTGAGGAGTGTTTTGCTGGGGCAGCCCAGGAGTTTCTCATTTGCATCACCATTCATAAGGCTGCCCATGTGGGGGTGTCCACCGGAGAGCTATATGTACGGGTTAGCCTGGACAAGATGAATAAAAGCACCAAGACCCAGCCCAATACAGAAAATCCCTTCTTCAATGAGGTGGGTAGAAACTTCACTAGACCCAAAATTAAGATATTTTAACCTCCTTTCCGTAGTACTTTGTCTTTGAGTTTCACTGTACCCTTACGGAGCTAATGCGGTTAACCATTCTCTTCGAACTGAAGAAGCACATGATCTACAAGAAGAACTTGGTGGTCGGAGAGCTCTTGGTGGACCTACATAGTGTTTGGAATCAGCCCAATCATGGCTACTTCAAGAAGTGGGGTCGTCTGGAGGCACCCATCGGGGAGAACCAAAGCATGGATCCGACTCTGGAGGCCCATGGGTATTTGCAGCTTGATCTGGCCATTGTTTCCCAACACAGCTCCCCAGTCAGCAGTTTAAGATCAGAGGAACAAGACACTCACCATCTCAACAAATGGACAGTGGATCGGGATTATGATGATATTGAGAAGTAAGTCCAAGACCTCTTTCTCCAGAAAAGAGAATTTGTAAAAGATATATTATTGTTTCTTTAGAAACCTCTTAACCAATGTGACCTCTTTCACTCCGAGCAACATCCGATATTTCATCACTTTCTTTCGAGGCTACTTTATCCGGCAGGGAAACTACATAATTCAAGTATCGTTCGCCGGCTACAATGTACCTGTCGCGCTGCATTGACTTATGTTTCCGTTTCTAAAGTACAGATTCCATCCTTTCAAGGGCAAAACGCCGATGGCCAAGAATACAACGACTCCGGTGTGGAATCACGAGGTCAACTTTGCTTGGGTTTATCCATCGGTGGCGCAACGATTGCTCATCCTAGTCCTGTCCCATGAACATTTGCAATGGAAATGCGTGGCCGAGTTTGAGGTATCGCTCGAGGAGGTTGCCTTCAAGGGTGAGCTTATACTTTAGTGTGTGTTTGGACCTATTCCTATTTTTGGTATATAGCTATCCCTTCTCTGGGACCCACTTACTTGCATTTCTATGATCCTTTAAATCCTATGATCTATGTGGGTCGAGTGCTCATGGAAATCCGATCCGAGACCCTCCATGAGCCACAGCCCAGCCACAAGCTGTCCTCCAAGACAGTGTCAGGTTTGGATGAGTCTCGTTTTTGGCATGATGAAGTATATCTTGTAGAGTTTCTTCCCCTGATGGGTCATCACATCCAGACGCCTGCCACCAGCTACAAGATTTACGCAAAATTGGCCGAGCAATGTTCCAATGCCTTGGAAGGACAATTAAGGACACCAAATGGTCGCTTTCGTACGAATATGCACTCCAAAAGCTTCCGGCGGGAAGTTCCTTATAGATCCTGTACGTTCCGGGCTCGATTGCCGGATAATAGGGCCAAATACGAGAGTGATTTCTTCATGCTGGATATAACAAATTATATGGTAGGTTTAGAAATATTAATCGTTCTTTATAATTATAATTATATCATTTCTATAGCGCTCTGAACTGGAAATTTTCAAGGTTTTTCAACTGAAGCACCCCTTGCAGGACGAGGATCAGGCCAAGTGCCTTAAGGCCATCGTAGGAAATATTCTGACCAAGGTCAAGGAGGGGCTGGAGGCCCATCGCTTCGACCACGAGGTGCATCCCCAGAGGACCACCTGGGACATCAACCGACAGCTCTACCTACTCGACTACTTTGCCAAGTTGCCAAACGAACTTGGTCTACTGAGGCAGAAGCTGCGCAGCTGTTTCCTGGAACACCTGGACGCCACCATTGTGGATGTGGTCAATGAGTTGCACAGATTAATGGCTGAAATCGGAGCTCTTTCGGGCATGGCGCGACTGCAGGATGAGTGGCCGGAGTTGGTTCTTTACCTGAGTGCTGGCGGCAAGGATTTGGGTGTTTGTCGTCTAAATGCCAAGCTATTTGTGCACTTGGCGAAGCAACAGAGCAACACGCAGCAGGATACTCTGTGTTTCCGCCTCAAGAGTTTCATTTTCAAGTCCACCAGTTGCACCCACACCTGTCCCAATTGTGGATGCACCACCGCCATAGTCATAGGATGCCTCGCCATTGTGGTGGAGAGGGAACGACAGCACTTTCTCAACATTATCAACAACGATTGGACGTGCCTTGAGCCCATGGTGTGGCAACCGACTCCTGCACAGACCCACTTCCTCTGCCATGTCTACATTCACCAGGCCAAAGTTCGGCCTGGAGGCGAGAAGAAAAACATCTGCGACTCTCATGTGAGAGTCCTTTTTGCGGAACAGGCAGCGGAAACATACACATCCCCCGGCACCCTTTCGCCAATCTGGAATGCCGTGATCACCTTTAACTCTTTGATGTTACCTGGAAGTGTGAATCTATATATACGAAATCCTCCCTTGATTTGTGTGGAGTTCTACAACACGGAAAGGATCCTCTCAGACGATCTGGTGGGCATTGGCAATGTGGCATTAAGTGTTATCAGCGAGGACCGAGCCACCGACTCTAGTTGGGACGATACTGGGGGCTTTGGTAGTTGCCTGCGAAATCCCGCCCAGAACTTGCAGCGCCTAAAGTACCTAACTCCACCTCCCTTGAAGTGGGTGCCAGTAGCTAGGAAGGGAACAGTCCAGGCGGAGGTCCTCATGTCGGCAGAACTTATTGAAATGTCAATGGAACCAGGAATACTGGAATTAAAGAAGGACCCAGTTATGGCCACTGGTATACCCGTTGCTATCCGGCCGAATATGCAGAATTTTATGTGAGTTTTCCTATTTTCTTGTTTGCTGTGCTACGTGATCGGAAAACATGGTCCACAGTGATGGCCATATCTTTGGCAAAACACATCAGAATCTTAAGCGGAGTATCTTAAAAGATTTGTAGACAGATTCTCCACCAATCTGCAAGCAAAATATTTTTCAGATTTTTTGTCAAATTTTCTAGGGCATCCCCTTTAAAATGTGAAAATCTCAGGTGAGCCACATTCTGACCCACAGTGATGGCCATATCTTTGGCAAAACACATCAGAATCTTAAGCGGAGTATCTTAAACGATTTGTAGACAGATTCTCCACCAATCTGCATCACAATCTGGAAGCAAAATATTTTTCAGATTTTTGTCAAATTTTCTAGGGCATCCCCTTTAAAATGTGGAAAAGTCAGGGGAGCCACATTCTGACCCACAGTGATGGCCATATCTTTGGCAAAACACATCAGAATCTTAAGCGGAGTATCTTAAACGATTTGTAGACAGATTCTCCACCAATCTGCATCACAATCTGGAAGCAAAATATTTTTCAGATTTTTTGTCAAATTTTCTAGGGCATCCCCTTTAAAATGTGGAAAAGTCAGGGGAGCCACATTCTGACCCACAGTGATGGCCATATCTTTGGCAAAACACATCAGAATCTTAAGCGGAGTATCTTAAACGATTTGTAGACAGATTCTCCACCAATCTGCATCACAATCTGGAAGCAAAATATTTTTCAGATTTTTTGTCAAATTTTCTAGGGCATCCCCTTTAAAATGTGGAAAAGTCAGGGGAGCCACATTCTGACCCACAGTGATGGCCATATCTTTGGCAAAACACATCAGAATCTTAAGCGGAGTATCTTAAACGATTTGTAGAAAGATTCTGCACCAATCTGCATCAAAATCTGGAAGCAAAATATTTTTCAGATTTTTTGTCAAATTTTCTAGGGCATCCCCTTTAAAATGTGGAAAAGTCAGGGGAGCCACATTCTGACCCACAGTGATGGCCATATCTTTGGCAAAACCCATCAGAATCTTAAGCGGAGTATCTTAATCGATTTGTAAATAATCTGACTCCACCATTCCGCGCCCACAGCGACAGCTATATTTTTCTAGTTATACGGTATTTTTAATTATTTTATATATTTTTCCAGACTAGAAGTGTTCTTTGTGGGCCTTCGAAACTATTCCAAAACCAGCATGAGCTCGGCTGGCAAGCGGAAGATTAGGGTGATGATGGGCGACTTAGTGCTATCCAGTGGACCCTCGACTGCACGAGTTCGTAATAGCATTAACTTTTTGGTGGCCTATAACTCTGGAGTGGTGGTTTGTAACTCTTAATTTTCGTAGATCCTGAGGTAGCATTTTCCTTTAATAGAGTCTGCCGGAACAGCAAGAGTATTGGCCAGCAATTATAGCCACTGATGTCCTGCTCTCTGGCTTTAGCAGTGAGTCCACCTTGGGAGCTGCCCTCATTCCGAACTCATCCAATTTCCTTCAACGCGATAAAACTATAAAGTGTGTTCCAAAAACAGAAGGAACATCTGGAGATGCATCTATTAAGGTAGGGGAGGACGAAAGAGAGGAAGAGGAAGATGAGGACTGGGATGAACTGGAGTGGGAGGAGGTGGATGAGTCGCCTCCCACCAGGATAAGCAGCTGGTGGATGCGTTTCTTCTTCGCTATGGGACTGCGACCAGCCCCCTATGCTAATCGGCAGACTTTGAGGAACGATCGAGTCTTTGAGGACAAGGATCTGGTGGAGGAGAGGGAGTTCACATGGTGGACCAAGTTCTACAATTCGATGTACTGGACTGCAGCGGAAATATCGCACGAAAACAAGCACCGGCTGGTCATCTTCCCCGACGAACTGGAAAAGCAGGCACAGTTTGGATACCTTCAGGTGGGTTTTTATAAAAAAAAGCTTACAATTCATAGTCACATCCTGGCCTGTAGGATTGGGCAGTACCCGTTCAATTGGTCCATGGTGTAAAGTTCAAGAAACAGGCTCCTCCAAGGGAAGATGTCTATGCCACACTGAAGTTGCAACTTAAGCTAACTCCTTGCCAGTGTCCTGTTCTACCGGATCCTGGAGGAGGTGGCGATGGGTTGCCTCATCATTTCCCAAATACCATTAGTCCCCGCAATCAGGCAGCTATCCACGCCCTGGGGGAAACCGTAAAGCTGATTGTTAGGATTTATATAGTCCAAGGTGTGCAAATGCGGCCCCGGGACATGAGAGGTGACTCCGATTCTTATGTAAAGATATTCCTGGGTGGCAAGACCATGTCTGATCGGGCTCATTATTCGCCGAATCAAAGCAATCCGGTATTTGGACGCTTCTTTGAACTGGAAGCCTCGTTGCCGGGGGATAATATGCTGCAGATTGTGGTGTACGACCACGACAAGTTCAAGGATGAGGTTATCGGCCAAACCACCATCGATTTGGAGGATCGCTGGAGGACCAGGCATCGTGCCACCGTAGGTCTGGCCAACGAGTATACCCGGAGTGGCTATAATCACTGGCATGATCTGATGTTACCCTCAGAGATTTTGGTGGATCTCTGCCAGAAACGGGGCATCCAACCACCTTATTACTACGGCAACGTTATTGAAGTAGATGGAGTGCTCTTTGGAGATGAGACCGTGATATCAAAGGGTGGGGATTAATTATTTTAAATAATTTTTTATACAACGAATTGTTTTCCAGATGAGGAGCTTCAAGAGCGACTAAGCTTGGCTGTCCTTAAGAATTTTGATAAGCTGCCCTCCTTTGGCTATAAACTGATCCCAGAGCACGTGGAAACACGTTCCCTGTGCCGAGATGATTATCCCAACGTTGAGCAGGTAAGTGTCTGAGTTCAAATAATACCTTAAGCTTTACGCAATAAAAATGCAATTTAATGAAAAGAAAAGATAACTTATCTAATGCACTTTTCTCTCAAAAGATACGCAACAAAGGGAATTTTCTTTGAAAAGTAAAGTTTGTTTGTTGGAACTCTTAGACATTTTTAGGTAACAGTTTTAGGTTACTTGAAAATAATTAATATTTTAATGCCACTTTTCGCTTTCTATTCTTAACCTTTCTCAATGTAATTTTATATTATCTATAAAGCTTTGAAAGCAGTTGATAAAAATAGCCTAATTATGTACATATATTATTAGTTATCTAATTACAATCTAAAAATCTCAGACCTTGTATTGATTATCATATCAATTTTATGTCATATTATTTATTGATAATTGCTTGATTATAATGAATTCATTGGAACTGTGGAAAAGGTCATTGGAATAGACAGCAGGATAGATATTATTCTAGAAACATCTCTCTAATTCCAGGGTAAGCTGCAGCTTTGGATCGAACTATTCGAATCGAACATCTATGTGCCCCAACCGATTGACATTACCCCAGTGCCGCCATCGGAATTCGAGGTTCGTGTTGTGGTTAAAAATCTGAAAGGCATACAGTTTGCGGACAAAAACATTTTCGGGAAACTAATGAGCGACATCTATGTAATTGGGTGAGTGTTTCGTGTTGGGAGGAGACTATTAAGAACAGGACACGGGCAGGGCCATGTAAACGATATGCAATTACGGAAATTTTCGCATTCGAATTTTTGGCAGATGGTGCGAGGACGAGGACAAGCGCCAATCGACCGATATCCATTACCGCTCATTTGTTGGCGAGGCGTCCTTTAATTGGCGCATGGTCTTCGGCATGAAGTACTCCCCCAACGAGGACCTGGTGAGCTTAATCCTTGACCTTGTCTAATTGGTGGCTGTAACCAATACCCCACTGATTTCAATATTTTACTAATTATTCAGAGGCTCCCATTATTAATATTTTACTTTCCTCTGCAGATGGTTATCCGACGAAAGGCAGGCTTGCTGGAGGAGATCGAGTTCAAGAGGCCACCGGTGATTTACTTGCAGGTCTGGGACAAGGACGTGATTACCAGAGATGAATACCTGGCCGCCGTCGAGCTGAATCTCTCCAATATGCCGATGCCCTATCCCAGTGCCCACCTTTGCAAGCCGTATCCACCGAAGAGGAAGCGCATAAATCTCTTCAAGCGCAAGGTCATCCAAGGATGGTTCCCTCTCCAGAGCAATCCAAATCCCTTAATGAAAGTTGCTTCCAAAGATCAGAATGTGAGTGGGTGGTGCTATGGTTTTTCATCCTTAACCTTAAGGATATATTTTCAGGCCAGGATGCAGCTGCAGATAGAGGTCTGCACGGAGGTGGAGGCTGCTAACCGGCCGGCAGGACGGGGTCAGGATCCACCTATGGCCTTGGAGGCACCCTAGTAGGTGGCTTAACAATTTAATTAATATTTTATATTAATTTTAATCCTTCCACAGCAGACCGGATACGTCGTTCAATCCACTCACGCATCCCTGTAAATCCTTCCAGCATATCCTCTGGCCAGCCATCCGGAAATATGTGCTATGGACTGTGTTTGTATTGATAATTATCCTCGGCTTAGTGTTGTTCTTTTCCAATTTACCCAGCAAGCTTATGGGTATTCCACTAGAGTGAATAGTTGCGTGTTATTTTTAAGCGTTTTAATTGATTTTTGTAGTTTAAAGTTCTCCAATGAATTAGTTTATTGTTCGTTTCTGCGTCATATCTACGGCAGCGGCTAATGAAATGGCTAATAGCCATCTTTAGTGTTCTCCAGTGGGCGTTGGACAAATTGTGGGGCAAATACTATAATGGCAAAGAGGACTCTAACCCCTAAGGGGATCTATAAACGTACTTATAACGAGATAATATTAGAATTTTAAAAGGAGTGCTTATGAGGTGGGTATCGATTGGTTAATAAAGTGGAATTTTTATTTTAAAAAGAAAGAGTTGCTAATTTTTGGCTTTAAATATCAAGACTACATAAAGAGTAATAAAGGTAAGGTTTTTTTTGGATAACCCAAAATGCCATATTTTTTCCTTTAAACGTTCCTTTAACTTTCCATTTCATCCTCATTCTCAAGTTCAAGTCTCTTCTGCCAAAAACTGTCAAATCATTAGCCATTTTTGTTAGCCACTTTACATATACATATATCTAGAACTATCCTGACTATTTCACCATGTGGGTGACAATTCGCGACGAACAGAGTTTGTTCGGGTATTTGCATATTCTATATCAATATGTATCTCTGTGCTGTATCTGTATCTGCATTGTATCTGTATCTCTTCGATTGGGACTAGCTGCTAATGGCGGCACCCTCGCGACAAAGTGACGAAAGGCTGGCGGGGCAATTTTTTTATCAGGACCGCCCCGAACCAGTCAGAACCGTTCCGGACGACTTACAGGGCCCAAAGACCAAAGGCATTCAGTTGGTGTCCAGCTATCGGAGCTGTCGGTACGCAAATCACTCAGCAGGAAACTGGAAAACTCCCAGGGCAGACTTTGTGCCCCTCGACAAAGGTGCTAATTAAGTTTTATAATTAAACCGTCTGTCCATCACCGTGAAGACTGCAACTTAAAAGCATATTTGCTGTAGTTTGTTACTTTCATTAATATTTCTGCAAGGCGAGTTGAGTGTCACGAGTCCTTGCTAACGCCCTTGTAGTGCTTCCTCTCGGGCGTATCTGTAAGGATCGAGGGTGAAACATATGGCAAGCAGCCTTAAATGCGGTTAAACTCAGTGCCAAAATTTTCGGAAAATTCCTGCTGCTGTCGCAGTTCTGCCTGTTGTGTGTGCTCAGTTCTAGTTTTGGCGGAAATCAAAATCAAATTCAAGTTTTTTAAATTCAAAGTCGACTGAAGATGTAAGTGCATCGTCCTAGATCGCCGCCAAAGCTTAAAAAGGGAATTAAAAGTGCAAGACTAATCGACGAAGGAGCGAACACACCAAGGATTTAAATTAAAAGGTAATATAGTTAAGGGAATACTTATATATATCCTTTTTATTATCCCGGAATAACTGCTAAAAAAAAATCGTAAATACACCCACATAACCCCTCGTTTAGGGTCCCTGCGTAATTAAGGGATTTGTTGACCCACCGAATGGTGACGAGTGATGTTTGTTTTAATATTTGCCGACGAGTAGCACTTAGCCTAATCGAATGCCTAGAATTTCGTCAACTCATCCACCAAAAACCTGACTGGAAAACAATCAGAGTTTCCTCCTGGGGTCCATAATTTCATTAGTTCGAGTAAGCAGCGACAAATCGAGGTCCAAAATCGCCTAGATATCTCTGCAATTTAATTATGGCGTAAAGAAACTACCTATAAAGTTATACGCAAATTAATTTGACGGTGCAGTTCGAATCCTTCACTCGGTAGAAACAGTTCTAGAAATGGGCCGTCCGGAAGTCGAGTGAGTCGGGATTTTGGCCCAAAGGCTTGTCCTTTACACAATTATGCAAATTCAGTCTAGAGTGGCGAAAATAAACAACCCATTAATTAGACACTTTCAGTTAATGGGCTAAAAGAATGGAGTTCGATTCCCTGGGGCGGTCAGTGGGCTAAATGGAAAAATGACAAACGGCCATTGACTCGACGGCTCTGCGTTGTGTCACACTTACATACTGGAACCAGTGACACTCTCTTGGCTTGGAGAGCGTGTAAATTCGCCAAGGGCCAAGGGTTAGTTCCCAGTGAGCCCTAGTTACAGTCACCGTTCAGTCGCCGCCCGGCGCAGTCGTCCCGCGTCCTCGTCCTCGAGGCTTTATCTTTGTCTCACTCGAGATATCGTGTGACAGGCGGGTTATCTAAATTGGTTTCCTGTCAGTTAACGCGTTGGCCAAACCAAACCGTTTAGTGCTATCAATATCTAATTAGCCCACTGATTGTGCTGTTCGGTTCTGGGATAGGGATTGCGAAATACTCTGGCTCTAACCGGCTCTAACCAATCCATTTTCAACCATGTGCAGTCGCACTTCGCGGCCCTTTACGGTTACAGCAGCGGCCACGGACCGAGCGGAGCGTCAGGTCAGCGGTTCCAGACTGGAGATGCCCAAGCTGTGGAACGGATCCTATGGCAGCCAGTGCGGCTCTCTGCCGTCCCCGGATCACCACCTGGTGGAGGCCCAGCCCAAGTTGCTGCCCAAGCAGCGCAGCAGCAGCAGCGGCAATGGCAGTGTCAACGGCAGCGGGAGCAACAGTCGCAATAGCAAAGTGAGTATTCCTCGAGGATGTGTCAGAGTTGATTATTGTTTTACAGAGTTATATTCCCTAAATAACTGTACTATAAGCCGACAAATAGTTCCCAAGTCTTGCCAAGCTTATAAAACAACTTAATTCTTCTTTAATTTTCAAAGGAAATAATGTTTTTTTAAAGATATTAAATCGCCAAATATAAACACTCATATTTCCATTGCCTACTTTTATGGGCGCTTAGAAGTCACATGATAATGAAGAGGAAATTTTGAGGCTTTATTTCCATATAATTTCATTCCAGAAGATGCCCTAATTTGGTAGAAATACATTAAAATTATAAAATAAAATAAAAAAAAAATTAATTAAAAAACAGCGCCCTCCTCCTCGATTCTCATAGGTTGCACCTAAGCAGGCCTAAAAAATCGCGAAATTAGTTTTCTTTTTTTTTGTGAAAATTTGTGTTTGTTGTTTTTCTTGCTTTTTTGTTGTAACTGTAATATGTATTGTTGTAAACTGTTGTTTGTGCTGTTGTAAGTTGTTGTTGCTGTCTTAAATTTGTTGTTGTTGTACATTTTTGTTGATATTGTAATTTTTGTTGTTGTAATGGCTTTTGTTGTTGTAATGTTTTTGTTGTTGTAATGTTTTTGTTGTTGTAATGTTTTTTGTTGTTGTTGTAATGTTTTTTTTTATTGTAATTTTTTTTTTTGTTGTAATGTTTTTTGTTGTTGTAATATTTTTTGTTGTTGTACAATTTTTTGTTGTTGTAATGTTTTTTGTTGTTGTAATATTTTGTTGTTGTAATGTTTTTTTAATTTTATTTTTTATTTAGTTTATTATTATTCAGTTTTAATTTATTTGTAAATTTTATTTTGTTGTAATTTTTATTTTTTTTTTTTTTAATATTTGGTCATCATTTACGACTTTATATTAAAGCTGCTATATACATATTTAACTGTTCAATCGTAAATGCCTAAAACAAATTAGTAAATATGCATCGCTCATACGCACTGTTTTCAAAATGGTTCCCTGGATTACTCATACGCACTGTTAGCCAAAATAGCCACATTGATTCCTATTTCATTATGAAATTAACTTATTTTGTAGTATATATATAATATCATAAATCTATAAAGCCACTTCCAGTACCCTTCATGATTATATCCAGTTATAACAAATTATGCATTATTTTTCAGTATGGTTTAATCTCAATGATAATCGAGCGCAGTACGGGTCTCAAGCGTATGGAAATCGATGGCGACGATGTGGACACACCGCTGGAGGCCATCCTGCCGGCCGAACCGCCGGCGGAACAGGTCTGTCTATTGCGTGACAGCCCCTTTAGGATATTGCGGGTGAGTTAATCCGCTAGATGGATATTCGGGCAGGTCGCAATTCTCCAAAGTGATAAACCATGGCTGCTCCCCAAGGTGAAAGCCGCGATAAATGCCGTCCGATCGAACATGTGCAGTTCCTAGAACCGAACAGAGTTCCCCTCAGAGGCAGTTCAATGGCTTCTGGGCCGGGCTAACGATGGCTGCAATGTCCAGCCAATTAGGTTTTACGTAAAAACGTTAGACAGTGGCTAGGTTATGCACCCAAAAGGACATCAGCTGGTTGGAGCAGCGCAACAAGTCCGGTTGCGATTGAAATTGAATAACAAAAATTGACTGGCAAATTGAAAGAAAATCCCGAAGTGGGTCCTGTCAGCCTAACAGGACTCCATGGGCCGAAGACGAGGCCGAGGACTATAAAAGGCCGAACGCCACATCCGAGATTTCAGTCTTGTGGCTATTTTCGAGTGGATTTCTTTGTTTTTGGTGGAAAAATCATGTTGACTTGGATAAAAAATCAGTGGCAGAGCAATTCAATTTGTGACATTTTCTGCGGCTGCCTAACTCAATAATGATTTATGAAAGTTACTTGAAGAAATGTCAATAAATAACCTGAAGCTATGAAATAGATTTCGAAGAATAAAATAAAGTGTCATTGTTTTAAGACTTGAAGGAAGTGAAATCTATGTTTTAAACGCTTAAAACAAATATTTCTAAGGAATATTTTAAACTTTTAAACTCTAATATCTAGAAGACAAGAAACTTAAACATATCGACAGAAATAAGCTATTAAATGGCCTATAAATAATAATAAATCATAGCTGACTTCATAAATCAAACGAACGCATATGGAAAACATATCAAAAAGCAAATAAACCAGAGCTCTCGAGTCTTCTTAGACCGTAAGAGCAGTAACATTTAATCTCTAAATCAAACACCCCGATGGAATTAAAGTGACCCAGAGTGGTTTGTGCCGTAACGATGTCCTCGGGCGATAAGGATACCCCGAAACGGGAAGTGCTCATCAGTCCGCTACGCTACTTGATTAGTGGCTGTGCCCGTGGAGCCGAACTAAATGCAATGGCTCCTCTTAACCTGTCCAACAAATGGGCCCGCATCCTGCGTATGTCCTCCGCCCCAAAGATCCAAATCGATGACTTTCTCCAGGTACAACTACTGGTTCGAGTAAAGTCACTAACTTTAATTCGAGGGGACGATGAAAGTTACGGTTTAATTCATTTAATTTTGCTGCAGTTTTTAAGAATTTTTTCTTAGAAAAGACTTTCCTAGAAGGATATCCTTCTTGAGGGACAACAAACAAGGTTGGATTGAAAACAAAGCTGAGGAAATGAAATGTCTTAGTTGGCAGAACTCGTTTATGATTAAAAATCTATTGACATTTGCAGGGGAAAGATGTTTCGTACTCTCTTAGCTTAGCTCTTAACAACTGAAATTGTAAATTCCAGGAGGAGTGTTCTTTTTTTGCCAACTAGTTTTTTTGCTTTTACCTTTTTAGAGTTCAACACGCGCCGTTTATTTGCAAGACATTTAGTGCAGAGAGAAAAAATTCGTAATAAATAGAAATATGATAATAATTTTAAGGTTTTTGAAGGGTATTCTTTATTAAGTATCAGTATTATTTCTAAAGTAGAGACCCTTTCATAGCCTTTATTATTTTTATGAAATATATATTTTTCCAAGTGCTTTCAAAATAAACACCTTGGCGCATCTTAATTCAAGTTTTTGCCAACTAAGACACCTGTTTTTCCATTTCATTACCAGGCCGCGGAGTCCGGGAACCTGGACGACTTCAAGCGCCTGTTCATGGCGGACAATACACGGATCTCTCTAAAGGACGGCAAAGGACGAACGGCTGCCCATCAGGCGGCGGCCCGTAATCGGGTTAACATTTTGCGCTACATCCGCGACCAGCACGGCGGTAAGTCTGGTGGCTTTGGCCATTAAGCGATGGCTCATAATGTGAGTGTTGATTTACAGACTTTAATGCCAAGGATAATGCCGGCAACACTCCGCTTCACATTGCGGTGGAATGCGATGCCTACGAGGCCCTCGACTACCTACTGTCCATGTAAGTCATGGTTGATTTGGCTCTCAACTAAGTAGCTAAGCCTGGAAAATATTTACAGTCCAGTGGATACGGGAGTTCTCAATGAAAAAAAGCAGGCGCCCGTGCACCTGGCCACCGAGCTCAACAAGGTGAAGAGTCTCCGGGTGATGGGTCAGTACCGGAACGTCATCGATATCCAGCAGGGCGGGGAGCACGGACGGACGGCTCTCCATTTGGCAGCCATTTATGATCATGAGGAGTGCGCTCGCATCCTGGTAAGTGGTGTGAGTCATTGCCAATCGTTTCATGTAATTATTTTTACTTTTAGAATTGCGTTTGGTATTTACTCATGCATTTTATTTGCATTTTGATAGCCAATTGGACCATATCAGAATCACCATTAATCAATTTCAAATACCTCATATCCATCCGCACACACACACATAGACACACTCACCCGTAAACCCGTACTACCGTACCCCCAACCCCGTACCCCTTAAAGATTAATTTATCATAGAGAACGCCAACAGAAAGGTTTGTATTCTCAGTAGCGATTTTATTTTGCCTGCCCAGAAATGTATGCTATGATTTTGGTAGGGTCCTTGTGTCTGTGTATGTGTGTGACGGCGTGTATTATAGTATTAGTATATTAAATATGTATATGTTTATCCCGTTCTGTAACTCGTTGTATCTTGCAGATAACCGAGTTCGATGCATGTCCTCGTAAGCCTTGTAACAACGGTTATTATCCCATACACGAAGCGGCTAAGAATGCCAGCTCCAAGACAATGGAGGTCTTCTTCCAGGCAAGTTATTAATAATATAGTTCCTGTAGTGAAGTTTACAATCATGTAGATTTTGAGTAGTTTAGTTGCATGCCATCGCTTAACTTTGCCACATCATCCTGGCTTTGATCTCATTGTGTCGAGTCCGAACTTAAATCCCCTTTGGACTTCTGACCGAATCCTTCTTACATTCTTTTTGAACCTTTCAGTTTCAGTTTGAGTTTGTTTTTATTTGCCTGCCGCCCCGCTTGAAGTTGCGTTGACAGCATCCCCTTTAAAAAGTATCGAATTTGTGCCTTTCTGGTGACTGGCAGAATTATAGCCATCATCTATGACGCAAGCCTTCTGCGAAAAAAATATCAAATGTTGGCCAAGCCAGGCCGGGTCGGGCATTGACTTGCCAAGGGATAGGATTGTTTGGTCTGGTCGTTTGGGGAATTTAATTCTAATGTTTTACTTTTTCTAATGAAAAGGAAGTTTTCGGAAAAATGCAAATAATATATATTTTTTATTAAAGATTCTAGGACCTAGAAAGTTCTAAATCTTGACATGAGCTTTAAGGCTTAAGATTTATTTTTAATCACAACTGCCTGCCGTTTTAATTTCTAATAAAATTTTTCCAGTGGGGTGAGCAGCGTGGATGCACCCGCGAGGAGATGATATCCTTCTACGACTCCGAGGGCAATGTGCCGCTGCACTCGGCGGTGCACGGCGGCGACATCAAGGCTGTGGAGCTGTGCCTCAAGTCCGGCGCCAAGATATCCACCCAGCAACACGATCTCTCTACGCCAGTGCACCTGGCCTGCGCTCAGGTGAGTTCCTCGTCCTTTAACTGACAGCACTTGCCAGCAAGGACTCATATTTCCACCATAAACAAAGTATTCTTTGGTCAGTAAGTGAGAGGAGAGCAGCGGTAATTCCTGGACAAGTGAAAGTGGGTGGGTTGGGCCGAGCCCGACGTATCTTTTACTTCCATTTCTCGCGTTCGGTGTCCTGAGCTGACTTGACTTTAATTTGACAAATTCTTATGCAAATTTTCACCAAGTCGAACGTGACTTTGCCGCTGGCAAAACAAAAAACGTCCCCAGCTCCCACAATGTTGTGTAACTTTGTCACGGGTGAATGAATTTGACTTGTGTTTGCACTAGTATTTCCATATCCATTTCCGATTTCCTGTTCTCTTTATTTTTAGGGGGCCATCGAGATTGTCAAGTTAATGTTTGAAATGCAGCCCTTGGAGAAACGCATCTGTTTGAGCTGCACGGATGTGCAGAAGATGACGCCGCTGCACTGCGCCTCCATGTTCGACCATCCGGACATAGTGTCCTACTTGGTGGCCGAGGGGGCGGACATAAATGCTCTGGACAAGGAGCATCGATCCCCTCTGCTTCTGGCCGCATCCCGAAGTGGCTGGAAAACCGGTAAGTCCTTTTACTTTTAATCTCTTTTAATTAATTATAACTTGATTTGTTAGTCCACTTGCTCATCCGGCTGGGAGCCTGCATCAGCGTAAAGGATGCTGCTGCTCGGAATGTCCTGCACTTTGTCATTATGAACGGGGGGCGGCTCACAGATTTCGCCGAGCAGGTGGCCAATTGTCAGACCCACGCACAGCTGCAGTTGCTCCTCAACGAGAAGGACAGCATGGGCTGTTCCCCGCTGCACTATGCCAGCAGGGATGGGCATATACGATCTCTCGAGAATCTCATTCGTCTGGGGGCATGCATTAATCTCAAGAACAACAACAACGAGAGTCCCTTGCACTTTGCTGCTCGCTTCGGAAGGTACAACACCGTCCGTCAGTTGCTGGACTCCGAGAAGGGATCCTTCATCATAAACGAAAGCGATGGAGCTGGAATGACGCCCCTACACATTGCCTCCCAGCAGGGTCACACCCGAGTGGTGCAGTTGCTCCTCAACAGGGGAGCCTTGCTCCACCGAGACCATACTGGCCGGAATCCTCTCCAGCTGGCAGCCATGTCGGGCTACACCGAGACCATTGAGCTCTTGCACTCGGTGCACTCTCATCTTCTGGATCAGGTGGACAAGGATGGGGTGGGTAGTCTTTCCACTTTTCTTTTCTGAAGGAAATACTGAACTATTGTGCTCTTAGAACACCGCTCTCCACTTGGCCACCATGGAGAACAAGCCGCATGCTATATCCGTTTTGATGTCCATGGGCTGCAAGTTGGTCTACAATGTCCTGGACATGAGTGCCATCGACTATGCCATCTACTACAAGTATCCGGAGGCGGCCCTGGCCATGGTGACTCACGAGGAGCGAGCTAATGAGGTGATGGCCCTGCGCTCGGATAAGCATCCTTGCGTTACTCTAGCCCTGATCGCCTCCATGCCGAAGGTCTTCGAGGCTGTGCAGGACAAGTGCATCACAAAGGCCAACTGCAAGAAGGATTCGAAGAGTTTCTACGTAAGTTTTAGGGGGTTCCATACAACAAGAATTCTCACTTCATGACCCATATCGAAAGTTAATATTTTCAACCGATATATGTATAATTTTTATAAAACCAGATCAAGTACTCTTTTGCATTCTTGCAATGCCCATTTATGTTTGCCAAGATCGACGAGAAAACCGGAGAGTCCATTGCGACCACGAATCCCATTCCGTTGCCGGCGTTGAATGTAAGCGGAGATATAGGATCTTGATCCTCTAAAGAACTGTTGCATGCTTGAGTGTTGTTTTTATCCACAAAAGACGATACATGATGTGATAATGAAACCGGAAGATATAGATTCCCCTTCGCGAGTTGAGTTTTGAGATTAAAGTTGAAAGGTCTAGGTCACTTCATCCTTTACATCCTAAAATATTAAAAAATTGAAAGTTAAATATATTTTAAACATAATTAATTACCTATCCAGATCAAGTATTCGTTTTGGCCATATCAAAAGACACCCGAACAGATCGAGCAAAAACGCAAAGAGTTCAATGACCCCAAGTGGCGACCTGCGCCCCTGGCCGTGGTGAACGTGAGTCCTTCGAACTCTTATTCGCTTAAAGACGCGTTTGCAATTGTGTATCGTCCTTCAACCCCAAAACTAACCTACTAACAACCTCACTGTATCTTGCTTTTGTGTCTTAATGTTGAAACCCATACCAAAAATCAGATCACTAAAGTATATCTTTCGATTTCGGGGGGATAGACTATGGTAACCCATGGCCGGGTCGAGCTGCTGGCCCATCCTCTCAGCCAGAAGTATCTGCAGATGAAGTGGAACTCCTACGGCAAATACTTTCATCTGGCCAACCTGCTGATCTACTCAATATTCCTGGTTTTCGTGACCATCTACTCCTCGCTGATGATGAACCATATCGAGCTAAGGGCTGGATCCAACAGCACCATGACTCGCTACTGCAATATGGGGTAAGTTTCCTTAAAGTCATTAAAAGATCCAACTATAACAAGTCTTGAACCTTCCAGCTGGGACGAGTTGACCCGGAATCTGTCCCACAATCCCGCGGTGGCCTATCAAATCCGTTTGGACTCCTGCGAGGAGCGCATCAAACGCACCACTTGCATCCTATTTTGTGCCGTGGTCATTGTGGTCTATATCCTGCTCAACTCTTTGAGAGAAATCTTTCAGATTTATCAGCAAAAGCTGCACTATATCCTCGAGACGGTTAACTTGATATCCTGGGTCCTGTACATCTCGGCGTTGGTGATGGTTGCTCCAGCCTTCAAGCCGGATGGAGCCATCAACACCATACACTACTCGGCGGCTTCGATAGCTGTGTTTCTGTCCTGGTTCCGACTCTTGTTGTTCCTTCAGCGCTTCGACCAGGTGGGCATCTATGTGGTCATGTTCTTGGAAATCCTGCAGACGTTGATCAAGGTGCTGATGGTATTCTCCATACTAATCATTGCCTTTGGCCTGGCTTTCTATATACTGCTCTCAAAGGTGGGTTGTCTTGAAGATAGAAGATTGCAATCTAGAATCTAAGACCTATATTTTGTATTCTTCTCTTGCAGATCATTGACCCCCAGCCGAATCACTTGTCCTTTTCAAATATACCCATGTCCTTGCTGCGAACGTTCTCCATGATGTTGGGTGAACTGGACTTTGTGGGCACTTATGTAAACACCTATTATCGCGATCAGTTGAAGGTGCCCATGACCTCCTTCTTGATTTTGAGTAAGAATAGAGCAACAAATTCCTGACAGGATACTATAGCGTCTTATCCTTTTTAAGGCGTCTTCATGATCCTCATGCCCATTCTCTTGATGAACTTGCTCATCGGTTTGGCCGTTGGCGATATCGAGTCTGTTCGCCGCAATGCCCAGCTGAAGAGGCTGGCCATGCAAGTGGTCCTTCACACGGAGCTGGAGAGGAAGCTGCCCCATGTCTGGTTGCAGCGAGTGGACAAGATGGAGCTCATCGAGTATCCCAATGAGACAAAGTGCAAGCTTGGCTTTTGTGACTTTATACTGCGGAAGTGGTTCTCAAATCCCTTTACTGAGGATTGTAAGTTGCCTAAGGATATCCTTTTGAGGGACAACTAACCCTTTGAATTTACAGCCTCCATGGATGCCATATCCTTTGACAACAACGACGACTATATCAACGCAGAGCTGGAGCGACAAAGACGCAAGCTACGGGACATCAGTCGCATGCTGGAGCAGCAGCATCAGCTGGTCCGTCTCATTGTCCAGAAGATGGAGATCAAAACGGAGGCCGATGACGTGGACGAGGGCATATCCCCCAACGAGTTAAGATCCGTGGTGGGTCTCGGATCGGCAGGCGGTAATCGATGGAATTCTCCACGAATCCGTAACAAACTACGGGCCGCATTAAGCTTCAACAAGAGCATGTAGATCCTGAAAAAGGATACTGGTTTATAACCCTAATCTGTGTCAATAAGGGCATGTATATCCTGAAAAAGGATACTGGTTTATAACCCTAATCTGTGTACTGTAGCAAAATGTTTCGTAATTGAATCTAAATGTGTGTGCAACAACATATATTGTCCCTTTGTGTGTGCGTGTGCGTGCGAGGTCCTGAAAGGAATGTACAACGAATTTATAGGCGAGGACATAGAGCATTTTTTTGACGGGATTCACCAGATCTATTAGTAGTTTCTAAAACCACCTATTGAATGTTTTGATGTACTTTCAAATATCTCTACAAATAAAACGCGTTTACCTAGACAAGTCATCCTAGTTTCTGTGGAATAAAGTCAGGTCCTGGCGACTAATATTTAATTCTTATTTATTTAGGACAATGAATAATATGGAAAGTAATAGATGAGCCTTTTAACGATCGATGAAAATACAAAAACGTAATAGCTAGGTTGTTCGATGATTGGAACTCTACATGAAGGTGATCTTGGTGCGTCCCATGTTGACCTGCCAGACATTGAGCTCCTCGTAGTCGTCGATGCATTTGTCCACCTGGTCGGGTTTGAAGCCCTTCGTTGTGCAGCGATCCATGATGTCGGCAATCTTCACGGCCTTGCCCGAACCGGCCAGTTCACGAACGATGGCAAAGATGCGATCAGAGGTGTTGGGAACACTAGAATAGAATATAAAGTGTGAGAAATACAACCCAAATAATCCGCTTAAGGAATACTCACTGTCCCTTCTGGTGCTCGTGTATCTGGTTGAGCGAATCCTTTGACATTTCCAGCAATCGCAACGCCTCGGCCACATCATCCTTCTCCACACGATCGGACAGACGTAGACGAGCCAAAGCCGTGGACAGACGAAGAATGCCCAACAGGTTCCTGGCCGAAGTAAAGGTCATGTCCTTTTGGTTGCGCGCCTCGCGACGCAGCTCCACATAAGCGCCCACAATGTAGTCGGTGAGCTCGTCCGGAATGGTTGGGTTCTTGCGCTTGCACAGGTTGATGTAGCGCCGCATGAGATTCATGTCCAGAGCCTTGACCCGTGTCGGTGGCTGCTTGCTGTGGCTGTGCACGTAGGTGATGTGCTTGGCCAGACGCAGATCATTGTCCCTATCCGGCTTGTCTTGGATGAGCCAGAGCAGATCGAAACGGGAGAGAAGAGCTGCTGGCAGCTGGATGTTTTGCTCGACAGTGCGACGGGGATTGTAGCGACCAAAAGCAGGATTGGCAGCTGCCAGAATGGAAACGCGAGCATTCAGAGTGGTCATGATTCCGGCCTTGGCTATGGAGATGGTCTGCTGCTCCATCACCTCGTGGATAGCTGTACGATCAGTATCAGCCATCTTGTCGAACTCGTCAATGCAGCACACACCCTGATCTGCCAGCACCAGAGCTCCTCCCTCCAGAGTCATCTCTCCGGTGAGTGGATCCTTCATCACCGCCGCCGTCAAACCCACTCCTGAGGATCCTCGGCCGGTGGTGTACTGGGAGCGCACTGCCAGACGGCTGATGTAGCCCAACAGCTGGGACTTGGCCACACCGGGATCGCCCATCAAGCAGATGTTGATGTTGCCACGGATTTTCATGCCGTCCGGGCGTTTGTCCACTCCTCCTACCAAGAGGAGCAGCAAAGCCTTCTTAACATCCAGATGCCCGTAGATTTCAGGAGCCAAGCTGGTGGCCAGGCGTTCGTAGAAGTCATCCTGGGCCAACTCTTCCAGTTCTTCGGGGGTAAGTTCGGCATCCTTTTCCGAAATCTCATCGTTCTTGTTGATGCAAATAATGCGCTGAAGGACATTTAAGGATGAAATACATATCCATTAAAGAATAGGGATAAATAACTCACGTGAGCCTGCAAGAAGGTCTCCGACAGCAGACCTTGAATCATCTGGGCAAAGCCACTGCGCACCAGAGGCAAGAATACACCAGATACCACAATGTGGTCGCCCGGCTGAGCCATTCGAGTTACTTCTCCGCGGCAGAGCACGGTCATGGTGCGGGGAATGTGACCCACTGGCACCTGGTCACTGTGCTCTTGAATTTTGAGCTCCTGGAACTTGATGAACTTGGAGCCGCGCGTCTGCAGGTACAGTCTGCCGCCAGCCTTGTTCACTCGACAGTCATCTGATGGGCAATCATGCACCGGGGTAAAGGAAAGCGAGTTCACGGGCTGATAGGTCTCCGAACCGCAACGATCGCATGTATAGGTGGCCACCACCATCATGGGCTTAACCTCCGTGCAGCGAGTGACGATGCCACGTACTGTGACCAGTTTTCCAATGTGCTGGGCCTTAACCTCGCGTATGGAGTGCGCCTTTTCCGTAGACTGTGGCTTGAACCCTACCTCACTGAAGGAAACAATACATTAGTTTTGGCGGGAAACTAAAAGACACCCCCTCCTACTCACAATCGCTTCATCAGCTCCGCGGGGAAGCTGTTTCGCTCGTCGCGCTGCTCCATGGGATTCCGGGTGCGGGCGTCCATCATCAACCGGTGCTCGATGTACACATCCAGGGCATCCTTGGCGTGCACCTCCTGCTGCTTGTAGCTGGGCAGCAGTTCGGCAATAACATCGCTGAAAATAGCCGCGTAACGTCGGCAATTCTCGATTACCGCCTCCGCCAGGCTCTCGTTGAACTCCGCCAGATCATCCAGATCGATGGTGATCAGAACCTGCTCCCGATGGGCCAGTTTCACCAGTTGGGAGCCATAAACAAACTCCTTCTTGCCGTCCTCGTCGTTGCATTTGCAGAATTCAGACAGAAAGGTCTTGATAGATTCTGAAAGAAATGCATGTTGTTTCTAAATTAATTTACGTTCCATGCTTTTTTTTAACTCACCTTTATCTTGGGCATAGTCGCGTCGAGCCATATTCTTTGTTTTGTAAATGTGCAGCTGGCGGATAACAATAAATACAGACAGCTGCTGTTAAAGATGTTTTCGAAGACGCTGTTTGCAAGGAAATGCGAGGAAAACATGGAAAATGCTTCCCGCCAAAAATGCTTTAGTGATGGCGATAACTATTGTTTAAATCTATCGAAATATCGATACAGTTGCCACTGTTGCTCAAGTTGCCCCAGCCGCCTTTCCAGATGGCGCCACTTGTGCTGCCACTTCCGACCTTAAAAGAAACCATGGCGCTTAATTTGAATTTCAAATATTGACGTTTATTTCGTGGTTGTTAAATGAAATTTACAAAAGTTTTCGCGCAACTTTGTACTCGAACTTCAATTACATAGCATTGCGCATTGATGTCAATAAACGTTTGGACTTGCATTTCTTGTTACATAATTATTTATTATTGGTTTTTGTTTTAGGCATCTAAAAGTAGTACATTTATGTTTTTAGTGCAATTTTCTGTTGGTTATCTCTCAAATAGATTTACAACGATGATGATTTTCATTCGCACATTGCTGTTTTGCTGCTTTTGTAGCGGTATACATAAGTTACGATTTAATATGTTGCATTTACGTTTAACTTAAATATTATTAATCACATGCAATATTTAAATAATAATGATACAAATAATAATTATACATATAGAGTGCCGCGATATATGGATATAGCGATATATATATACCGGTTCGGCGGCGGTACTTCCTTTGTTAATTGGCTACTAACTAAATTGTTGTTCTCTCCGTCAACTGATTTTTGCTTTTTACACATTACGAGCTAATCGTTACAACTTTACGCACTAGCATTATATATTTTACGATTTAATTAGTTAATTCATTTATGTATATATATATTTTTTTTCTCTCGTTTTCTTCCATATTTCAATCTTATTCGCATTTATGCATATTTTATATTCGTTTGTATATATATATTGTTTGTTTTTGTATTTTTAGAGTGTCGCCAGCGCTGCCCCTTTGGATTTGATGCCGCAGCGCTGTGCCCACTGTAAAGTATCTGTAAGATTGCAACAATAGTTTCGTTTTTGAATGCATTTTTAGAAATTTGCAAAACTGCGAACTGTGATTTTGTGCGCTTAACTCTTTCCCGGTCTCGATCGCACCTAGACTCCCTCCATAAACTCTAATTAGCTGAATGCATTTCATGACATTACCTCAAGGTCTACCCTCTTTGTTCATATAATTTAAATAATGCTACATATAATGTACGTATATATCAATAGATTTTCTGATTTTTTTTTTCATTTTTTCTTTTTCGTTTTTTTTGCGTATAAAGCTGTAAGTCTTCTAGTTTTTCCGTAAAGTGCGTTTTACTCAACTAAATTCCATTCGCTTAAATTTCTCAATTGTTCAGTTCGAAAGACAGTGTGTAGACAACAATAATTTCGTTCAAGTTCTATATAGCTAACAGATTTATATCCTTTACGTATAATATTGTTTTTTTTTTGTTTCATTCTCGATTGAACGTGGTGCCTATAACTCTGATTTCTCTTGATTCTATGTATTTGTTAAATTACACCGAAAAGGAACAACTTGCTTTGAACATTGAGCTTTACGATTATAAGTTTTTGTTTTTTTTTTTAACATTTATCTGAACGAACTGCACATTCTAAGGGAAGAGGATTGCTTTAATTTGTAATTAGCTTTACTATTCTTCGATTGTTATTTATTTTGACTTTTTCTTTCAGTGCAGATATCCAACACATTTATATGGCACACAAGTCTAGTTGGATTCTGCCTTTTGGAAATTCGATGAGCTCAAAAATTTGGAAAAGCTAGAAGGATTTCAGGGTTTTTTCAGTTTCGGTTTCGGTTTCGGATTATTTGTGCTTGTTAGTCGATCGATTGCTAGATGAATGCGCTTAGCTCCTAATAAATTACTTTTTAACAACTTAAGAATTACACAAATAATAATAATAATGATAATAGTTATTAATTAATGATTCAACTCGATTCTTGTGCATTTGCTGTTTCTCTCCGATTTTGTGGCTAAAGTTGATCCACATTATTGTGGTAGAGTCCCTCCATTTTGGGACTTGGGGCTATGATTGTGGGTTTGGTGAGTTGAGGATCCAGCAGCTGCCTTAACTACATCTACTGAGGAGTATTGTGACTAGAGTGAGGAGCAGGCTTGTCGCCGTACCCAGAGCTGGGACCAGCGAGCTGGACCCACTCGTTTTGCCATGGTTATTGTGGTTATCCACTTCATTGGTGGTGATGTCCGTATCATCAATGGTGGTGGCACCTAAGAAAAACAAGATTACATTATTAAAAGTCATATTTTTAAGTCTCTTAGTATAACTCACCATCGCCGGATCCATCACCGGAACCATGCTGGCTGCTGTAGTCCTCCTCATCGTCATCGATACGACCCTCGCCTCCTCCAGAGCCCTCATGGCCCATGTCGCTTTGTATATCATGTGTTTGTATGCTATTTGGTGGTACCTGTTTAAAAATACAATAATAAATTAATAATAATTCTTGGAAGTTTAAAATATTGAAATCATTACCGTTGCTCCAATATTTTTGCGAATTTTGATCAACTTGTCCACAAGCTCATTGAGTGTTGAGACCTGAGTCGAAGTCCTGAGGGGAACTTCCGGATTATAGCGCTGGCTATCCAGTCCAGAGCCAATCAGTAGTTGGGTATAGTCGCCATAACGATCGCCTGTCCAGCAGGAGTGATCCTCAAGGGAGTACTGTTCACTGCAGAAGCTACAAAATAAAAAAAAGTAAACTTAGTAGGCCTTTTTTTTTAACTTTAACTATATATCCCACATGTCAGTTGTCTCATCAAACACATATTTACTTTGTTGTCATAAAATATACTAAAAATCACAAAAGAAGAAACACAAAAGAAGGAGGTACAAAATGTTTAAGGAGCTGGTCTTGTGGATTCATCACATTGCCCATGATTTTTGCATAAATCGCACTTTGGAGCATGTACCTCGTCACGTAAGTGATAGATTATTAATTTTAGAATTAATTTTAAAAGGACTATTAATTTTTAAAGGGTTGCCGCATGGCAGTGAAAAATAGCCGCATCGCCAATTTTATTTTCTTTATTTCCATTGTGACGCCCTTGTATTTCTGCCTCCTGAAGGACGTCATCCAAATGATAATGGGCCCCAAGAAGAAGAAGAAGCGAAATTAACCTCCAAACATGTTCCTATCAAAGGCTATAATAGTTCGGTCAGTCGGTGTAGTTTGTCTCATAAGACACCCATAGAATCGAATAAAGTTAGTGGCATCGTCTCAAAGCAACTCACTTCTCCACAATGTTCGCATAGAAGTCCTTGGTCTTGTCAATCGTGGATAGGAATCGAACCATTCCCGGATCCGGAGGCGTGGCCCACTTGATGCTGCCCTTGTGTGGCGCTGGCCTCGTTTCCGGTTCGCTGGTCAGCGACGGCAAAAGGCTCGGTGATCCGCAGGTCTTCTTTACCTGAAAAATAGGAGGGGGATTTTAAAAAAAATGCTGGTAAGGGGAATGGCATGTGATGAGCTCAACTTCCTCCGATTGCTAATCGTAGTGGCTCATGCAAGCAGCACGTGTGTCCACCGCCCTGCATGTAAATTGCAACTTTCTGGGCAGTCCAGAACGGTGGAAGGCCTCCACTCTAATTTAGCATTTTAAATTCCCAACAACATGCCAATCGCTTGTTCAACAAGCTCTTGAAATATTTCGCCTTTTTTATTTTTATTTTTGGGGAGTCTTGGAAACAAGTTCAATGATTCCGGAACCGAATGTCAATTCATTAAATTCGATCGAGAAAAAAGTTCATAAATTAAACGGCAATTAAACCATTAAGGGAATGTGTCCTTGGGACATAATTAAATTAAATGGAAGAGCTTGATTTCGATGGGTTTCTACTTACTTTCTGTTCCAGTTCGGGACCGTTTTTCATGGCATGCATTATGGCCTCTGAGAGCTTGGAGTCCAGCAGCTTGATGGCATTGATGATGCCGTTCTCCGAGAGGATGTGGGTGGTGACCAGGTTATTCAGAGCGTCCACCACACTCGACCAGGGGTTGTCCAGGAGTCCGGCATATTCCGCCGAGCAGCCTCTGCACAAGATGATCCAAAAAACCGAATTAAGTATCGGCTGTAAAAAATGTAATCTGAGAAACTTACCGCAGCACGTTCATGCAATAACCGTGACAGACTTTTGTCTCCTTGCTTGGCGACTGGTGGCCGTTGCAATTGGGGCAGTAGTGCATCTTGAGGAGATGCAACTTGCAGGTGTCCGACAGCTGGGCCCCATAGAGGCTGTCCGCCTCGCTCAGTACCTCGGCACTCTCCAGCAGGGCCTTCATGAAGACATTCGAGATGTGGACACTCTGCACGAGACTGGATTGCAGTTCCCGGGGTATCTCCCCGAATGGACGCATATCGTCAAAGTTGTGCTTCAAGCAGTTGATGTAGTCGTCGTGCAGCTCCCCATAGGAGTTCTTGCTGACGTGCACCGCCTGATGGTAGGCCACCGGAAAGAGTTGCACGAAAAACTGATGAACTGCGTCCTCCAGGCCGCTCTGGATGCTGCCAATGCCCCGACCACTGTGCTGGCCATTCGTATAGTTCGAGGTGTAAATCAGGTGGCTGGACGGGGAAAGGAATTCAATTAAATTCGGTTGGAAATAAAACTCCAGAGCACTTACTTCATGATTTCGTTGTAGAGCTGCTGGATCAGCATGCGGGAAAGCGGCACCATTCGCGTATAAACCTTCGAGAAGACGCCCAGTGTCTTGTTCTCCGACTGCTGTGCCAATTCCAGGACGTGACCTGCCGCAAAAAAAAAAAAAAACAAAAAGAGATTATAGCCAAGGATTCACATAAAAGTAGGGCCAACAAAAAGCGAGTATTGCCCCAGCTATTGTTATTGTTATTCGTAGCGAAATTTAATCACTTTGCCGCGAAAGTTTTTCTGCCTGCTGGGATTTGTGGAACTTCTGGTCTAATGGCCTGGCTGGGACTCGGGATGGAGTATGCTTTTAGTTAATGAAATACATCCATTTCTGCTATGTATATGAGAAACTTAAATATGAATATAGCGAAGAGGTTAGTTTAATTGCCAAACAAACTGTCAATCAATTGACTAATCACAGGCTAGGAACGCCACAAAATAAAACAAGAATCTAATGTGTCACAATGTTATCTGTCAATGTGTCAGCGGCAGTTGTGCGAATTGATTTGGATACGCAGATTGGCTGTCGATACACACAGATACAGATAAACAGATACAGATACACAGATATACAAATACAGGTACCATTCTTTGGCAGCCTGTCATTATCGCAGATTACAAATAGCCGATGTCGTGTCGCTGGGATATCTGCATAAAAACCACACCGATTTTCAGATTGTATATATCATTGAGAGCCTGTCAAATCGGCGTGTGATTTCTCACCCTGCCACCTCCTCCCTCTCCCCATCCAATGTGTTTGTCTGACAAACTCTAAATTGCAATACGTTGTCTTGTATATCGTTTTCAAACGAAAGTGTCAATCTTTTTGTTAATTGGCAACAAAAGAACCAAAACACACAAAATATATGTTTCCAGATTTGTTTTTCGGGTTCCTCTTAGTTTTGTGTGTTCTTCTCGGTTGCGGCTCATTTTTTGATTTTCGATGTTGAAGCATTTCCGTTCTCGGACCGAGTTTTGGGCTTGGCTTGGAGCTTGGAGTCAAGGCTGCTTGTTCTGGTTTATCGGCTAATGGCCTTTGATGCGTCATCCGAGCAGAGCTTACCCTTTTTAATTAGCCAAACTAACGATCTGGGTTCTCCAGAGGATATCCAGTATTCTTATTAATCAATTAAGCCAAAGTGTAAACAAAACTACAAGCTGCATAAAGATAAAGAAGTGACTAACAATGCCAATCAATTGATTTGCGCTACAACACAGCAATAATAAAGATACAAAGATACCCGAGTATCTGGGAGTGTGAGGAGCACATCCTGTCGCTAATCTTATTGACGTGGCATAGTTAAAATGAAGCCGTTGACTGACGGAAGCATTTAATTATTAACACGCCGGGCGGAACGTGTTGACTCGCGGATATATATTCTCACACTCTGTGTGACACAGTGGGATGCCTCATGCGGCATCTCGACTGGGAAGCTGGTAAGAGGAAGTACGCCCGACAATCCCTAAATAGATTCTATTGATTGCCGATATAGTACTTTTATGGAGAAGCCACTAGCAAAAGGCAATTTCCATTATCTATCTGGTTGGGCTATTTGTGTAGCAAAAGTGCCATTGCCACTGCCACTGCCACTTCCTTCGCCTGGCTGCCTAATTGCAATTTTAATGAACTCGCTCTTCGACGACAATTGGGAATTGCTGAAAGCAGCCGCCAGCAGTCAACGCTGCGTATACTTGATATTCGTATTATTGCAGCTGCTTTTGTTGGCTTAATATGCTCAATTAAGTTTCGGGGCTTGGGCCAGGCCCACACACAAGACTAGTATAAGCAAGGCTGCCCCAGGTGGGTTACATTTGTATCTTTGTATCTCATAAATTGTTAACTCAGCACTTCACTTGCGGGCAAGCACAAGACTTCATATGCAATTTGCTGTCCGTTTACATATATTGTGCAACTAATTGCAATTTCCATCCAACTATCTGGATGTCCATCTCTGTTGCTCTCACAGTGACAATTAACCAAGGGCAGGGTTAGCTTTGTTTCTTTGTATCTTTTGCCAACAATCAAATCTAAAGTACTCCAAATGCTTTTCCCAATGAAACATGAAAATTTCATTAAGCTTGGCTTTTTCCTTTTTCTATTTTTTTTTGTAAGGGGTTCTCAGGTAGAAGGGGAAAAGGCCCGTCACACATGGAAAATCGTACTAATGGGCAAACAGACAATGAAATTGAATTAGACAACAAAGTGCGGCCAACATGTAGATGGTAGTTTTTGGTTCTCCAGAGGAGCCTTTTCAAAAAGTCCCCAAGGCAAGCAAGCCTTGCCCCTTTCCTGACACTTTGCTTTTCAAACTGGAATTCAAATATTAAAGAGAAGGATTTAATAAAGTTATTGAAAAGTTTAAACTTTTAGTTTAAGATCATGATCTATCATATTTCATATCTGAAGATTTGTTAGCTTTGTTTTTTGCTGTGCACAGGGGTTAATATTGAAAAGGCTTCGACTTCATTGCTTCATTAGAAGTCCATGGATGGCAGAAGGCGAAGCAGGAGCGAGATTAGCATGCCAAGTTCCAGGCGGCGGCGACCGGTTTCCAGTTTCGCCTTTAGGGGCAAGCCCCGAAAGCGGTGCGGAGGTGGCAGTGGCAGATGCGACCGCGGTCCATGCTCCTTTTTTTTTTTTTTCGTTTTTTAGCTCCAAGCGGCACTCTGTTGTTGTTTCCCACGCCATGCCACTAAAAATATGCGGCACACATACACATCAAAAATACAAATAAAAAAAATAAATATAAAAAAAAAGCCAAGCACAGCCCACAGGTTTAGTTTTATTTTGTTCCTTGGGGCTGCGTTTGTTTGTGTTTGTTGTTGTTGTGTTCCTGTGCGGATATTACAATTTTAGTATCTGCCGCATTTTTTATTTGCATTTTATATGCATGTATATATTTTTCCAGCTTTTTTTGTATTTGGTAAGCTAGCCCTCCGCTCCACCAAACTCCACCCATTTGGATGCTCTGGTATCCGCTGTTGCCGCCTTATGAATGCCATGGCAACTTTGTTAGTGCTCCCCAGTCCTCTATCTTCTGGCAATTTTTTTTTTTTTTTGTATCTGCTTCTTGGCGGGCTTAGCTTTTTAGCCGCGTTTAGTTTCGTTGCGAAGCAAGAGGCAGGTTTCTCCTGGCCCTCTCGAGTCGTCGTCTGTCCGTCTGGCAGAAAAAACTCAACAGAGACCAGAAGGAAGTTGGATGAGAACAGTGGTTTTGGTTAGGAATTAAATTAATTTATTAAGGAAAATATATTTGAAAAGATAATATAGTATGAGATTTAAGTCTCTTATTTTTTGAATTTCTAATCATTAATATCTTTTGGTTTTTATTTAAATTTTTAAAACTCACCCCACCGTGCAGCTTAAGTGCATGTAGATGCATATTGTAACTAGCTATCTGCAGGCGTGCCAACTCGGCACGCCCCCCCTTTTGGTGCAATCCAGGCAGCTCAGAACCTAGCAATTCAGCCATCCGGCTATCCGGCTATCCAGCTAGCCACTCCAACAGCTGTGCCATGCCCTCTGGCAATCTGCTGCTCTTGGCCAGGCTAAAAACTCCAAAGCCCAAGCCCAAGACCCTTCAAGGCGATCCCGTACACAATGTCAAAGTAATTGGATGACTTTTCATTGTTCTTGGTGGGGAGATGGTTCTCAAGCAGGGACCAGAAATGTTTCAGGTTCTCTGACATATTGAAATGCTTCAGAGCATATGCATCAATGGCTTTTGTGAGTTATTTGATCCCAGTTGCAGTTGTTATTATTTTTTTTGGAGCGGTTTCTAGTCGCCTTCCGTATTTGGTGGCGCGTTAATTACAAGCGCAAGCTTTCGGCTTTTAATTTGCCAAACAACTAATTATGGTAATTATATATATGGTATATATATGGTGAGCAGCAACTGGCAGACAAAATGGCTCCGACTTCCAGCTCTGTTAATTAATAAAACAAGTGGAAGTTTTTTTTGTCAAGTCGCAGACGGCTCCATTAGTAACTGGCTATTGGTTTTCTCAAATACGCAAATAATTATAAATGCTGAGCTCGAGACAAATCGAATTGAAAGCTGGTTTTAGTCGGGGGCGTTTTGTATTTATTTTTTTGTGATTTTGTGTATTTGCAGGTGACTCTGAACTCCAGTTTCCCGTCGATTTCATTGAGAAATCGAAGCTGCAGCCCGAAGGTCGTCACTTTCAGACCAAAACCAAAAAAAAACAAGAAAGGAAAGCTAACTTCGGGCGGAGCTTAAGTTTATATACCCTTGCAGTTAAAACCGGATAATCGCAAACATCGGATATAGTAGGCCGATCCTTATGGGAATAGGAATATATAATCCAATTTATTACAATACAAAATCTAAAAAAAGTCCCAAACTTCTATCTTCAAAAATACGAAAGTTGATATTTCTACCAAATACCATTTCCGATCGTTCAGTTATATGGCAGCTATGGGATATAGTCAGCCGATCCTAATGAAATTTGGTAGGTTGGATCAACTGACCAAAAATAGAATCTGTATTAAATTCCAGCTTTCTATCTACAAAAACACGAAAGTTGGGTCATTTCCGATCGTTCAGTTATATGGCAGCTATAGGATATAGTCGGCCGATCCTTATGAAATTTGGCATGACGTAATGTTTTGCCAAAAATAGCTCTCATGTCAAATTTGAACTCTCTAACTCTAAAAACACAAAAGTTATACCATTTCCGATCAATCAGTTATATGGCAGCTATAAGATATAGTCGGCCGATCCGGGCCGTTCCGACTTATATACTGCGTGCAAAGGAAAGAAGGGTGTGTGCAAAGTTTCAAGACGATAGCTTTAAAACTGAGAGACTAGTTCGCGTAGAAACGGACAGACAGACAGACGGACAGACGGACAGACGGACATGCTCATATCAACTCAGGAGGTGATCCTGATCAAGAATATATACACTTTATAGGGTCGGAGATGTCTCCTTCACTGCGTTGCACACTTTTGACCAAAATTATAATACCCTCTGCAAGGGTATAAAAAAACCTTAAAGATGCGAGAACAAGTTTTGACGGTTGAGCCAATTTCTTAAAAGACATCACTCTTGATTAAAATCTCTCTTAGCTCAGAGCCAAAAATATACCTTAAATGGAATAAATTTATATATTTTTTAAATGTGTTAATAAAGTTATATGTATTTTGCTAATGTCTATTCCACATATGGATGGCAAAGCTTTTAAAATTGTAAAACGAAAATGTGATAATTATTCAGTTTTAAAATAGCTTTGTTTTGGGGTCTTGGCACTCCCAGTAGTACAGGCACTACCTTTTTGGGGCATGGCACTTGCAACTACAACACGCAGCCAGTTGCAGATTGCAACTCGCACTCTGTGACAAGGCAAGGCAAACAAAAGCCGGCTAACAAGCTATGGCGGCCAAAAAACCACTTTAGCCGTAAAGACAAGAAGGCAGCCATCCGGGCAGGGTCCTGAGTACAAGATATGGCCGAGAAGACTTAAGCCTGGCCTGAAGGAGGACCAGCAGCGGGAAAGTTGCAACTTATGAAAGTGCACGCACTGCTTTTTGTTGTTAGTGCAGCTGCTCTCGGTGTTGCCACAAAAATAAAGAAATAATTTCAGCAGCTTCCATTTTGCCATTTTTTGTATTTTTTCTCCATTTGTTTTCTTTTCTTTTTTTTTGGTTTAAAGGGGCAAAAGTTATGCTGGCAGAGCAGTAAGTCAGCATTTGGAACTTTTATGCTGGCACACGCCCATGCCCCGCCATGGGTGGAGTCTCCAAAAGAGGGGGTGGCAGGTGAGGCAACCAGACGCATTAAGCGCGTGAGGTGACAAGTCACTTGGCGACAAAAATAATGAAAATACATGACATTTCATAATGAGAACCAGAGGTTTTAAAATCGAAAAACAACAAATATTTCTCAGTGTATGTAAGCATCGGCGATGACGACGTCGGCTAAGTGGTAAGTGCATTCAAGAGGAGACGCAATGCGTTGGCGGGCCTTGGGAGGGGAGGATCTGCAGATATGCGGATCTGGGGTTATTTGGGGGGCCCGGGCCCATATAATTCGTAAGCTGTGGAACGTGTTTAAAAACGCAAATACTTGCTTAAAAATAATACGCCAAACAAAGCAGAAACACAAAGGCGCCAAAGGCCAGGAGTTGCAACAAAGCGATGTACGGAAACGGAAGAAAGCCAGAGAGGGAGGAGGAGGCGGTGGAGGAGGGCTTGTTGCAACAAGGGTATCCGCATACGGGCTACGGGATGTTCTTCGAACAGGAAGGAAGCAACCCGACTGGCGGCTGGCTTGTATTGCATATGCCACAAGCTGTTGTAGTTGGCAAGTTTATGGCATGGAATAGAAATATGCATTTATTTCGCATACCATAATATTTTATGCGTTATTTTCTACAGAGACGGCCAACTAACCATCTTCAGCAGCCAGAGAAAGAGTCATAACACCAAGCGATTGCCAAGAAATGCATAAAGTTTTATAGTTTTCGCATTTTTTTGGAGCTCTTTTTGGAAGAGAAAGGGAGTGTCCTGGTGGAGAACATCACGCATACGCCGGGTGTGCTGCACGAAAGTAAATCAATTTTTATGGCCACTCTGCTGCAAGTAAGAGTGCTCGTAATGTCCCGCAACTTTTTGAGGCCAACAAGCCAAGCCCCGTTATCAGTGCCAGACGCCCAGAAACAGTTCCCCCCAAATAATTGCCATATCAGTTGCAGGCAACCATTTGTTTTTCTTTCTAGAAATAATTAATTAATTCCCAGAACATTAACTGTACCTCGTTCATCCGTCAAACAAACGCTGACTTTGTAGTGTTATTTATACAATATATTTTTTTTTAATAAATTGTTGCTGCAATTGGTTTTCAATAATTTGTTATACTGCCTGAATGTTTAGCCAAATGACTCTGCTGATTGCATTTTAATTTTTATTCTCCCCATAACGTGCGACACTCGATCGGGTGTGACCTCATCGTTTGTACAATTTTGCAAATGCAAATTGAATGATAATTATTTAGAGAGACTACCCCTTATTTTTCACAAAATGTATATACTGATTTGATTCACCCTGCTGCCGAAAAGAAGCCACAGAATTTAATGAGCCCCCATCCGAATGAATCAATGGGCTTGCATAAATTAATCTGATGACAGCACATAAAATGCAAACAAAATGAAAACAAATTTAAACACCGTCAGAAAGAATATAATGTATGTATAAATACATCCAGGGAGGGCGTGTTTTAAAGTATTTTTGAATGCGCGCCCATTTCCAAGAACTGCAAACCCAGACCCGGAGGAAAAACAACAATGATGTCGGCTCCCCAAAAAAACTTTGGCCTTAAAGTGAAGCGAGACTTACACGCTGTACGACAACAATTTGCAGGCATTGTGTTGCTCCCCCAGGAGGACAGGGGGGCCAGTGGCATAAAGGGGCTATTTCCAAAACGTGACCCAGACAAAGTTTGCAAAATTTTCTAAAAAAAAAGGGACACTCGGCAACGCCAGCAATATTTAATGCTTTTTTAATTAGATGCAGTCGGCGTGGCGTTTTCTGCATTTGCAAACAGCCTCGGTTTGTTTATGAATTGACAGCGCAGTATATAAAATATACTTTATGTACTTGACTTTATACTATATATGTATATACCCCCGCTTTGATCTGCATATAAAATTACAAATCAATTTCGTATTTCGCGTTTCAACTTTAATTTGGTTAGCTTCCCAGTCCCAGCCCGAGCTCCAGATCCGGCTAGAAGTCGAGGCACAAGTTTTTATCGGCATCCGAGGAAGGCTAAAATTTGCATATGATAAATTATTTATTGCCACGAAAATATGCTCTGGTCTATCGCGTGCACAAAAAGCCAAGTCCCTAGCCACTTTCCAGACTCTCCCACAGATTTGCATAGAGGGCCTCGGTTCTGGCTTTCGCTTTCAGTCTAATCCTTTCGGGCCGGGCTTAGAACCTGGTACTCACCCTGAAATTGCTTGGCGTTCGTCTCGAGGACGCCGCGAAGGCTGCTGGTGTGGTGGTGGAGCAGTTGTTCGAACATTCCGGAGGCCTTTTCCCGGAGCTGCGTCTCCGTGGCATTGTTGCAACAGCTTCCGCCACAGATGGCACCTGGAAATATAAAGGATATAGGAGAGGATTAAGTAATTGCCTTGAATTATAAGTGTATTATGAGTATAGTCTACGAATGCATGTGGCTAAAACCCACATCCCAGATCATCTTCTACTGCGCCCATATCATTTTCAAATTATCGCACAAATCAAAATCAAATATTAAATGTTTGCTCTCGGGCGGCCGTGGGCGTGTGGGTTGTCTCGTTTAATTGTTTATGGCTCTAAACTGGCAGTGGGCGTGCTGGCCAGCTTCGGCAAACTACAACAATTACAATGCCGCCGCGTGGGCGCTCTTACCAATTTATCCATACATATGTACGCTATAAAGTAGAAACTATACGGTTTCGTCATTGGCGGTCGTGTTAATAACTTTTAAATTGCTCATAATTGCAAATTTTGTTGCTGACAATCGGAGCAGTTTTTCCAATGTTGCCGCATGCCACAAAGTCGCACAGTTGCCACTAAGAGCCACATTCCGCTAATGACAATGAATTGTTGGCAGCTGAAAGCAGGGTAAGGGAACAAACTGGGCTAAAACGATTTCCAGCTAACTAATCGTTGTGCCCCAGAAAAAAGGAAAAGAAAGATGCCACCGAAAAAAAAAAAATTGCACAATACTATATATATCGCAACAAAAGAGAGTTGATTGCCAAGGCTTACGGGAAAAATTGAAAGGGAATTGTTTTTTTTGGGGGTTTTCTGGTATCTGGCAGATACTTTTTCACGGACTGCAATAAAATCAGAGACTATGTGTATGAGTGTTAATGAGTGGGAGGCTCGGTGGCTGCCCCATTCCACAATCCCATCATAAATTCGTGGAGAAACAAATCGTGTGACAAGCTTTTTATGACAAGCTGCAATGACAACAGCAGACACGGACTTTTATGGATCTGACTCTGCCTCTACTCTTGCCTCGCTATCTGCCAGTTTTGTCTTTATAGTTTATAATTTAAATTAATGGCCCTTACATGATGTTAATGCGAGTGTCGGGCCCAGACCATCATCTACAGAAATTCATATGCAAATGTTTGTGGATGAGTGGTCCGATTCGGTGGCCATATGTTGCCATCGTAAAATTAGCAACTGAAAACTGAAATGAATTTGACAAAAGGCCGATGGCTGAGTGCATCAGCGTCTATTTTTATTTATTTTGACTTGCAGTTAACAGCCTCACAAGTGGCGGGGCTCACATATAGTTTTCACTCCGTGATGCCATCGACCGCAAGGCCGTGACACATATTCGACTGCCAGTCATGGATGGAAAATGAAATGGAAAACAACCGACAACTGACAGGCGACTTGGTGCCATAAAAGGTTTTTCTTTCAGTTAGTGGATATCCCCCAACGATTGACCCAAAGTCAGTCAATCAGTCAATCAAAATGGACAGACATCGAATGGCAAACAGATTCCTACTACTAGGAGCTTGTTTGCTTTAGTTTGGGTTTCCTTCAAAGTTTTTCTTTTCCCTACGGTTGCATTGTTTAAGTTATCGATTAGAGAGAGAGGATGCCCCAAGGCTCTTTTGGCCATGATGTGTTTATGCGTTTTGCCAACTGCTCGACCATAAATCAGGCAAACAGGGAGCTGTTGCCATGGCATTTGGCCAGCAACGGAGGCAGACTCTCTGGCGTCATTCAGTCAAAAACAAAAATTAAATAACAAAAAAAAGATGAAAAAGAAGCTGTAAGAGGAAGACAAAGGATGTTAAACCTGCCCCGGACAATGTTGGGGGAATTTCTTCCTTTTGACTTTCGGATCTGCCATTTCAAAACGATTCCTTTCGTTCCGTTCCGTTCTGGCCATCGCCTCTGACTCTTTTTTCTGTGGCTCAAGAGCTCAAAACTCAAGCAGCAGAAATTCAATTCAATTGCTGCAACGTGCATGCATGACACACACACACAAACACGCATAGTCCTGGACAGGGCAGGATGCATACATATATCATGATGTGGCCCAGAAAAGTATGCTACAGAAAACGGTCTCTGGCAACGGGCTGCCAAATTGCCGAAGCACGTGAAGAGCAACTAAAAAGTGGAGGATAGCAAACGGTTAGAATTGGAAAGAGCCGATAGAAGAACCAGTAAACTGAGAAAAATATATAGAGGAAAAATATCACTACTTTTTAGGGTCTTTTGAAGCATAATAGATGACTTATAGAAGCTTATAGTTGGTTTCCTAAATAATCTTGAATTAAAACAAACAAAAATCTCCTTAAAGGTTTGAAAGGATATCCAATTTATCTTTTTTTCTTTTTGTTAAAAATAGTTTCAGTTTCTTTTTGTGCACAAGTCGGGTGTAAAAAATGCAAATCTCATGCATGACCAGAAAATGCTCTGCCAAAAATACCCAGGCACGGCCCTGACCGCAAAAAGGAAGATGCAGGGAGTCGGTAAGGGGGGGAAGTAGGCAATGGCACCATTATTCTGCCACTGCCACTCCCCCCTTCGGATGCTACTCCCCTGTGCTACTGTGTGTGCCCCCTCTCTCTATATATATTTTCAGGCCTTGTTTTCCAGCCTGTCACCGCAAATGCAACTGACGACGTGTGCGAATTTGTTTACTGTAATTGTCTTCACTGTGGACTGGAAAATGGAGGAGGCATGGTGCCGAAGGGGGGCATGGGGCAGTGCGGGGGTGGCTTACACACATGCAGAGATAGGCTTCTGTGGTTACTTGTCGTTTGGCATTAGCCAAGTTGGCTGCCAGCCAAGAAAGCGCTTTAGCCCGCAAAACACTTGGCTCTGGCTTTGGGAGTGGATTTTGCATACCTTGACATATTTTGAGTGTCCTTACACCGCCACTCCCTCCCACCCCATCCCCCCATTCCTCCATTGCATTGTACAACTCCGTGTGGCATATGCCACTTGTATGCGTTTTCAATTTGCACAATTTACGGTAAACGTGTTGATAATAATGAAGCCAAGAGAGCCTAGAGAATTCCAGGCCCGTCAAAATGTCGAAAAGTTTACCCTCCCAAACCTTCTGTAATTAAAAAGGACAGACCAGTGCCTGTGTTTCTATTTTAAAATTAAATTCCAACAGTACCCAGAGACCTCTATTAAATATAATAACTTTTCTTGTCTCGAAAAACTTTAGCCCATCGGCAATATTTACTTAGGAAAAGTGTTTATATATAATCCCCCTTAAAAAATATTGTTGTTTGTTTGAAGTATAATTTACGGCCTTGATTGAAAATCAATTTACTTTCCCCTTTCCGGGGCTACAGGTCGTCGTAGCGATTGCCAGAGGCCATAAATTCTCTAATAAATTTACGAACGTGCAACGCTATGACTGCAACACTAAACCAAATAAAAACATCCGTTGCGGCTTCCAGGGTGGGGGTTGCATGTCACACACCATAATTTCTTCTCTCTACTATTTTTTTCGTTTTTATCAAAAATTGATGACAACTACTTGTCAAACACGAACAATTTGTGCAACGGCCAGAGGAGTGATAACAATTAAGTCAACAAACGGCCGTGGGACGGGGGATGGACTTAAGTCAGAGGTGGCAATAGTTGTGGGGGTTAGGGGTTAGGGTACCTCATATCGAGGCACTTGGCCTGTTGTTCGTTTTATGGTCCGTTGATTTCTGTTTGCTGTTATGACACGTATGTCCCATAGAACACATAGATCATCATCAGTTGCGGCAGATCCAGAGGCTAGAGGCCAGAGGCCCGACTTTTCCCGCTTTCACATTTCCCGGAAAACGTCAACGTCACATTTATTTGGTTCGTTGAACTTGGCCCAGGTTTATAGTCTGGTATTCTGGCATTCTGCTATTTTTTATTGGCCGCAATTCCATATACATATTTGCCATTTCAATATCTAATCTGGGACTGGGAGCTGCCTTTAAATCGAGCCGAATCAATATCAGCAAACATGTCGCTGTAGCGTTATAGATATCGATGACAGGTAAATCCTTCACTAAAAATAGCAGTCAGTACAGTGGAGCTTGACTAAAAAGAGCTTTTATATATTTTCGAATATTTTTTGGTTTGAAATTTTGTATATTTTGTGAAACACAAGGCTTTCTGAAACATCAATAGTTAAGCCTTTGTTTATTGTTTAAAGAAATTAAGAATTTGAAACACATGTAAGCACCTTTTACCCTTATAACCTTTATTATTTTTACCCTAAAATCATAAATAAATAAAGACATCATCCACTGTCTCTTACAATTTTCAATTATTTGCTATTTTGCATATGTTTGCCAGCGATTATGTGGCATTGCAGCTGCCACGCGGGAAAATCGCAACAATTCTGTTGGTAAATTGTTAATGTGCCGCATAAGTTTTCAATTTGTGTGGCAAATTCCGTACGGATGGATGGATGCTAGCTTGCAACAAGGCTCATGGTGTTGGTATTGCTGACATCGAAGCTGGCAGATTTTGGCGCCACGTCTGCGTGGAATGTAAAATTTATTGCGTCGGCTGCAGCGACAATCTCTTTGCCATTTATTTGCATTCGCATTTGAATTCACACACAAATGTATCTTGTAGTTGTATCTATGTATCTGTTGGTGAGCAGCTTCCTTGGCCCGTTGCACGCACTGCACTTTGTGCACTAATCTCGCAATGAAAATGTCAACTACGATTATGCGTGCCACACGGAGTGGCATGCCCCCATATTTGGCGTCTTGCTAGATTGGCTTACATTTCGGCAGGCGGTCGGCAGCAGGCGCCAGGCAGACGCGCCAGCCACCGATTCCCGTTGCCCCAAGAAATATATTAAAAATTTAATTGAAAAGCAAACGGCAAGCCAACTCCACTTGCCACTGCAACTCGGGGGCAGAGTAGTGACAATTATTAATTATTTAGATTTATGGTGCGGCAGCCAGAGGAGCCCACTCTCCGAGTCAATCTATATGCAAATGGCGGAGATATCTGTCCGGGCGGTGGACTAATGGAGGGGCAGTGAAACTGGATCGGTGCGATCATGAGAGGCCTGCACTCTCTCTCCTCGGACAGATCGCGGATATTTCTCAAAGATTTTC